CCAAATCACAATTGTCCCAAATCACAATCGGCCCAAATTAGAATAGGAATATGACCAGAGTTAGGGTAAGGGTTAGGGTTCTGAGGGATAGGCTATATTTGGTTTAGATTTTGATTTGGGATATCATATATTCCAATTGTCAATTGGAGCAGATTGTGATTTGGGGCACAACATATACAGGGGGTGGAAAAAATATATTAGACATTTTTATTTTATTAATTACTTTAAAATGTATATAATAAATTATTTTTAATTTGCCGCATTTTTATTTATTTAAAAAAAATTTAAATTTAAATATTTCAATAACTAGCAATCAGAATTTATTAATTTTTTTTATTTTGTAAAATTAAATATACTTTAAAAAATATAAAAAATTAGCTAATTCTGATTACTGGTTAATGAAATATTTAAATTTTAAAGTTTTTAAATATTTTAATCTTTTAAAATTGTATTTTTAATATGTTTTTTCAGTTTTATTAATAAATTTTGATTTTAATTTTTTCAATAATCAATGAATAAAAAAATATAAAATTTTTATATAATTATAAATTATTATATTTAAAAATTTAAAAATAATTTATTATATATATTTTAAAGTAATTAATAAAATAAAAGTGTCCAATACTTTTTTCCATCCCCTGTACATGTATGCTTTTAATCAATTTTTATCGTTATCGTTATTTTGACTTGATAGTTAGCGTTAGCTCCAAGTGAAACAGTATCGGTATTATAATTTTTGGTTGCACTATTTTTTTGAATCAAAATATGTGTCAGCTTTTTAAATGCAACCTCCATAATGCACATTACGTATGCATACTCTCCCTAAATGCATGCTCAGTCTTATAAGACCTCTAAAGTATAATGCCATCTCTCACTATATAAATGCATGCTATGTCTGGTTAATCATATGATCCAGCATTTTGTTAGTAAAATCGAAATATTCACACATTAAATTTTAGGACGAGATTTTACTCTATTGTTAATTTCAAATTTGCAATACTATTTGTAATTTTCTAAGTCAAATTTTTTCAAATTTCCATGCCGGACCGCGAATATGGAAGTATGGATTTTATTCGACCCGTATTTTAAAAAATGTATCATATATTCGAATTAATAGCGATAGTAGTTCCCAACTTTACTAGATTCACGGAGTATATAGCTAATTTATTATACATTATCGTTATCGATATAAATAAATTAATGTTTCTTCCTCTGCACAAGTCATTCGCGTCTGGTAACTTTAAACATTAACGGATGCTTCATTTGCAACGTAATTGACGGTCTATATCTAACCAGTTTTTCACTAGTTAACAACTCAAAGTGAAAGTCTTTAAGCATTACAGATAGTAAAGTCAATGCTTGAACTGTTGCAAATTCTTGCCCAAGATTGATGAAGAAAATTATTTAGAATTAATACAAGTGAAAATAATGCCGAAAGTAAATCGTATACTAACCATACTCGTGGTCCAGCGTTAAACGCGATTAACTTGTACAGACTTTGCATAACAAATTTACCCGATTTCAAGAACCGCGTAGGTTTAAATTCGTCAACATCTTTAGGGAAAAGATACAGAGTTTAGAGCGGGAAAGTTGAGAGTTGGAGAAATAAAAATAGATATATTATGGTAGTAAGTCAAGTTCTTGGAGTATGCTTATGCCGTAGTCGAAGACCGGGCCTTACCCCAATTATATGATGGTTTGAAACCCGTTCAAAGAAGAATCTGAAGAATTTAATAAAACTTTACCCAAAGAAATTAGATTTTCAAAATATAAAAAACATTCCAAAACAGTTACTTAGGAGTTTACCCCACTCACTTTCGTCTCTTCCCATTGAGTATGGAACCCAAAATAACATATCGCCAGAGTATACCGGAACACCTCCGGGTAAAATATCGTCTTCTACTACAGTCTAATATGCGTTGTAAATAATTAAAAAAAACCACCGGCCTTAATATGTGAAACATCAATAATATAAACATTTACCTTGAAATTACGCAGCACAGCTGGATGCAATCGTAATGGTTCGTTTAATGTTGCCAGCGAATATGGAAGATTATTAATACTATCATATTCGGGAAAGGGATTTGTGAGTGTAACGAGCGAATTGATTTCTTTGAGCAAATTTTGTTCGACTGAAGGATTCGTCATTATCCTATACATCATCCAAGACAAAGTCTACAAATAAAATTCAAAATTTATAAGTTTTAAACTGGAAATTTTAACGTG